AAAAATTCTTAAACCTTTAAGTCTTATTTTCCTCACCACCGAAAGCAATTTTGCCCATTGCAAAAAGTGAAAGAACCTTAAACACCTGAATTCACTGAAGTGGGGAATTACTCAGTATGGGATGATTCGTGAAAGGACCATTTTCAATTATTTACACTTTCCACTACATATTGAACATGTTTCTCTTTCGCATCATTAAAATTGCATCACTCTTCTCCCTGCAAGACATTTCATCACAATGAATCAAAGGCATGTTAAGCTTTGTTTGCACAGCATCTCGAGCAAATTAAAACTCTTAATAGATGAGATGACAGGTTTCAGGTGTTCGGTTAGTGGTCAAGCACCGCAGCCTGCATCAGCAAAAAACTTCAAGGTGCTTTGATCTGTGTTTGGTTATATCCATCCCACTCAAGCTGGATCACAAGGAAAACACACACACACACACATATATAGCTATATTTGTGTGTATCAAAGCAGTCAGTAAGCTAGGGTATGTCACGTCACATGGAAGATACATTAATATTAATGCTATGGATTGCCATAGAATATATAAGCTATGGCATCATCTATGGATTAAATTCAATAATAGATGACAAATTCCAAAACAAAATTTGCAGCTTATCAACTTAACAACAGATGGCTGAGACTTTCTGGGCCCATGGGAGTCTGGGGCTCAGTGCAGTTGCCCGCCCACTGATTACAAATAGTATGGGATCTTTTTTTCCCTCTCTCTCTCTTTTGCTTAGACCTCAGATAACCCAGTAAAGTAACAACCTCAACCGTTTGGCAGGATTCTTGAGAAAATATAACACATTTCTTACAGGGCACAAGAGAATATTGGATAGCACATTTCATCAACCATAAGCTGTAATTTTGTGCAGAAAAGTTATTTCTTTGCAAAGGAGGCAATCAGACTTCTAGAACGGTGCTTATTTCCGTTATTATTCACACAAGTGGTTGCAGCTAGTTCAAATGCATTAAATATATATATAGCTTTATTTAGTCATAGGCTGCTGTGGCACAGGCATCAATGAATACAGTGCACACACAGAGTACATAGAAAAACCCCATTGGGAACTTGTTCCTAAGCAGCTTCCAGACAGCTAATCCAAATGTAAAGATCACGAACTGTGCAATCTGGTTTGAAAAGGAAAATCTGGTTTAAAACTGAAAAGCTCTCCCTCTGAGACGATTAGTGTAATGCAAACATGTACAGTGATGCCTCTGCTGTTGGCGGAGGTGACGAAAGCTGAAGTTAATTTTCTGATTAATTTACTGTTGAGATCTCGTCATCAGATTAAATGGGAGATGAAAGGAGTGACTGAACAGATACATTTAGAAAGAAATATATGAATGGAATACTTTCAAAATTGATCATTTAATTTATATTTTGGTTCTTTTAGGAAACAACGACTTTGAATTACAAACAATAATAGCACTAACTCTTCTGTCTTGAATGATAGTAATGATAGAGAGGTTAAAGATGGACTGGGATTAGGAATGCCAACACCACCGTGGAATGTGTGTCTTATTAAACCTCAAGAGCCTTATCAGACAACTTGGACGAAAAAACAACTATGTTTCACTTTACCACACAAGCATCTCTCTTAACCAGAGCTCAGCCCAGAAACTATCCTTTTCTTTTATATGCTAACCATAAAAAGGTCCTCATAAAAGACTCTGGCCAGATGAAATATTAGAATCTGCACAAAGAAATAAGTCGATTTCTTTTCTGTAAAATGTGCATATTTAAAATATATATGTTTGTCATAAACACTACAAACAGATACAACTTCCCTACATCATACTGTTGCCACAGAATGAAGCTATACACACGACTTCACTCTGTGTAATTGTCATATCTGTGTTGTTAACATAAGCATAAACAACTTCCCCAGACTGCTTCACAGCACCCCCGAGGGATCCTAAAACATGGCTAAGAGAAAACGCTGCCTTAAACATGTCACCTCAGCATCATTTAATGAAAAACATCCCGCCACAGATCATATATCAAAACAATCCTGCAGGAGTTAGGCTGCTGCTTGTAAGCCTGTGTAGAATGCATGTGACTGATAGGTGGGCTGATGTAATTCTGTTGCTTCCATGGTCATGGTGATGGGCTGTTAATCTGGATTTAGGTTTCAGGGCCAGTGTTTGACTGTTACCTAATCCCACTGAGTGGCTCAGCATGGAGACAAAGACCTCAGGCTGCACTACGACATCTTCTGAAGCTTAACGCTGAAAATTATTTCGTAAAGCACAATCAAAAATCTGAATCTACTGAATGTATCATTATCGCTCTCATTTGTGTTTGTGGCATGTCTCTCACACATATACACAAAAACACAAAGTCCTGGTCTATTTTCATGGATTTACTCATGACTACATGGACTCATCTGCTATTCTTTACTAATATGTGTTATTTTTATTTTGTATATTTTTTGATTTATAGTTCATTATATCTGAAGCACTAGTTACAGTTAGTTAAACTAACACATATCCAGTTTTCAGTTCATTTTATCCCACTGGGATTACTGCGGAGGCATCGCCTGAAATTTTCACAGAGGTCACTCGGCTCCTTATAATGGTATTTTTTATCCTAGGTCTCTTTTTTCCTACAGCTTAAAGCATGGGGATAACTTAAGATTTTGCGACAGATTTAGATATGTCAGTCACTCTTGCAAAGTGACACTTGCTAACTATAATATCTTCCTGTAGTTGCCAGACCCTGAATTTTTGACTGACAAGCTAGAATGTCACCAAATATCCCTTAAAGCTAAAAAGCACCAGGAGTTCTGCAGATGAAAGTACAGTTAACCCCCGGTATTCACAGTGGTTAAGGACCCAACTGCCCACGAATAGCTGAAATACTTGAAAATTACTTGAGAATTACTTGAGAATTACTTTAGACCCCCTCTAAAAAGGCTTATAGCTGCCTATTTTTTATTTTCCCAGGAGCTTTGTGCTCGCCAAACGTTTTTTAAGAAAATAAATTATTTATATAGATTTCTGTGTTTACATTAACAATAATATTTGAAACCTAGTAAATCATTTTTTATTATAAAAAATGCTTTTAGTCATGAAAACAAAATAACAAAAATTAGCCAATGTTTTAGGTATGCTCTACTTTTACATCTGGGATCTTAAGTTTACATTGAGAGCGTGTGCACGGCAACATACTATTTTGCTCACTTAACAGATCAGTTACAGCACCACAATCTGTGTCACTCTTAATTTTGTGACCTACAAAGGAAGGGAGAGCATTGATAAGAACACACAGATGGCCCGCTATACTTTAATTCTCCAGTTTCTGAGCACAAGCCAACGCAGCCAATTCAGTCATATTATATAACGCATTTACACATAATGGATGGTTAATGTAAAAATGATGGCCTTCTCAAATCAAAGCAGCATGTGGGTGGTAGAATAGAAGAGGTGGGAGGGAGGAGGGTGTTTAGGATTATCGAACGAGTTGGCAATTATGCAACGCCAGAACTTTCTTGGGCGAGCTGGTGAAGGAATGACATTTTCCCCAGGATATCTATCACCCAAGCTTAATGGTTTTCACTTGGTGGAGAAATGGCATTCCTTTTTAATGGTTAATTAATAAATGAACTGATGATGATGAATGGCTCCCATTTTTCTTCCTGGTAATGAAATGATACACAATTTTTCCTCTATGTTTCTAATTAT